CGGATCCAAAAGCCAAGGTTGAGTGGACGAACATAATGGGAACAATTTTTGTCAATGAAAAGAGCCAAACTAGCGGAAAAAATTTGCTAGAAAAAGTTTCACACTTATTTTAATAACTATTCTTGTGAAAATAATAATTTCTTTATTTAATTACTATTTTTAATCACTATTTTTAAAAATCATCATTCTTTTTTTTACTTAATCATCATTTTCGAGCAAATTTTTTGGACAGTAATTGTGGTCTCCAATTGCTGTTGGATTGCATCCGAAACCACTTGTTACTGCAGTATTTGTTTTGCCTAGTTGCGTCAACTGCTCCGGCCCGGCTCCTCCAAATTGGCCATCACAGCAGGCGGTGGTTTGGCCTTCTGTTGCCTGAACAGCTTCTCGCTGCAGTTTCGCAAGCTTCACACATTTGCCCTCTTTGTTGTCCAGACAGTGTTGAGTCATGGGACACATCAAGTCCTTATGACCAGTGGGTGATGGCCTCTAATGTTACCACTACCTAATCCTAGTTTTCGTAATTTTTTGCATTCGCTTGGGAAGAATGCCAGGAAAGCTTTTCGTGCACTTTTGTATGATTTATGCGAAAGAAGTTATGTTTGTTGACTAGTTATAATTCTTTCAGAAGATGAAATGAACAACAAAATTGCCAGCATGCTGACCAGCAGGACACGTAGCCAAAAATATTTGAAAAAGGGGGCCAAAATTTTGGTCAAAAAAATTGGACAAAATTTTTGAAAAAGTTGCTATCTGCATAGTTAGCTGGAGAGCTGCGCTGTGAATTGATGTTGCTCGATTTATCGTTGTTCACAAAAAAAAAAATTATTATAGATATGCTATATAAGCAAGTATACATCTATAAAAATTTCATATCTGTAAAATATTTATATAAATACGTATATATAGCTTGTGGCAACATTCAGGACTACGAAAACTAGAAATTTGAAATTTTTCAGAAAATGACTCCATTTTTGTGTCAGACGAGAAAGTTGAAATCAGCTCATGTCTCTCTTTGTCCTGGAAAAAAGCTGGATTTTGGATCTCAAAATAATCTAAGGTCTGTCAGGCATTTTGAACCACAGTGAAGTTTTTTAGATAAATGGCACCTGTAAAAAAAGCAAAAATTTCCTTGA